ACTTTCTTGATCAGTGCGAGATGGCGAGGTGAATCTGTCATCGCGTCTTTTCGCTGTGTGTTTCCTAGATGCATCCTTGCTGGTACTGGGAGAAACATAACTGTTGCCCTTGCTAGTGTTTGGATTGACATCATCGCCATCCATATCGGTAATCGCTATACTCGCACCATCTCTCCCATCAGCGACAGCCTCCATATCTTTGCAGTAATCAGAACGGATAATTAATTCAGCGGATATGTTAGAAAAGGTAAAAGGTGACGATTTCATAATATGGTATGGGTCCTATCGAATTTGATTCAATCGTGTGTGTTCATAATATAACTGTTGACGACATAATGCATCATGTGTAGTTTATAATGAAGGAACATTAACATTTCTAATGTCGCCAGGAACAGTGTCCCTATACTCACTCGATGTAACGATATCGTCGCTTGTAGTATCATCATCCTCAGTAACCGCATCGGCGGAAGAGGTATCGACAGCAGCAGCAACAACAGCACCAGCACCGGCGAACACAACTGTTGAGGACAATAATGTATCGTATGTAATTCATAATAAAGGAACATTAACATTGTCAATGTCGCTAGGAACAGTGTCCCTATACTCACTCGATGTGACGATATCGTTATCGTCGCTTGTAGTATCATCATCCTCAGTAACCGCATCGGCGGAAGAGGTATCGACAGCAGCAGCAGCAGCAACAACAGCACCAGCACCAGCACCGGCGATGATCTCGCCAGCGTCCGCCTCGTCATCACCCTGACGTTCGTCCTCCTTTCCGTGCAATTGATCTTGAAGCATCTTCGAGAGACGATTTGCGGTGTCTAGAGCATCGAGATCGCGCTGCATCGCTTTGTAATCGCGTTTGGCGGTCTTCATGCTGTGTTTAAGGAGCGAGGCTGTCGCCTCTTGAATCTGGTCGTTTCCCTCTTTGTGCGCCTGGGTGGTTAGGAACTTCCTGACAGTCGCTATCCTCAGTCTCGGTAGCCCGTACAGACGGAACAACTTCTTCATGAATCGCTGGATGTTAGCGAGGGAGAAGGGTTTTCCCCGCTTCGACGAGAAGACGTACTCGGATTCCCAACTCCTGTTTTGGACGAAGTTGACAATCATGTCGTACTCTCTCGCGGGAATGCCGATCTGGTAGGGACCGTACAGCGAGGAGGTCTTGTGGTTCTTCACCTTAATGACGACACCGTCGGTTGACCTGACCGCCTCCAAGACTTCGCTGACGAGCAGGTTTTTCACGACTCCCGTTCTCGCCCCCGCTCTGATGATCAGGGGCCATGCGAGTACAGCGTGGATGAGGTCGACGCTATGCTCGTCGAGGATGTCTCCGGGTCGATCGATCATGCCGTCCACGATATGCCGGTGTTTCGAGTACTGTATCAGAGGTCCCATCTCGTCGACCGTGGGTATGTACTCGGCAGTCTTCCTGGCCATGTTCTCGAGATTTCCCCGTTTCCGACACAGCTTGGAGTAGAAGTTGTGTTCTCTGTTGTTTAACTCGCAGAGGGGATAATTCGCCTCGGAACACGCCCAATCTATGAAGCGTTTAAGATGACCCAAGATCACGAGGATGCTCGTATGTTTATACCGCCTCCTGAGTGCTTGGTAGAGGAGCTCGTATGACTTCTTGACCGTTCCGTATTCGATCAGGCTCATGATGGTCATTGATTGCTTCTCCAATATCTCGATCACCAGTCTCATGTTTCTCAGCATGCCTTTTCCGTCGACGGTTAGTCCTCCCCTCGACTCGTGGCCGATCCATGCCTGCACCGACACCGGAATTTTGGCCAGACCCTCCCTTCTCTCCTGATTCGCCTTCTTCTTTTTCTCGGCAACTTTGCGCGGACGCTCCGCGTTCGCACCCAGAGCCGTTCTATATTCATCGCTACCAGGAATCAACTTGTGCACGTTCAGCAGGTGGCACTTCATGTGACGAACGCCTTTGCCGCAGAGATTACAACTCTGGAGAGAGATGCCCGAGCGTTGAGACCTCGCCTCCCCATGGGCATTCTCGAGCTCTGCTCCCGTTATCTTGTGAATGCTCTTCAAGTGCCTCTTCAATTTAACGTATTGCTGAAGAGAAAAAGAAAGAGAGAGAGTAACGAATGAGAGAAAAGGAACATAAAGAGACTGGAAAGGTAGAAGAATATCACACATACACGTATTCTGTTGCTCATAACCGCATGCACGAATACGATACACATATAATGCACAATTGCCTTATTACAAATGGAGCAAGTTAGTTTGTTGGGGTCTATTGTTGGACCACTTAAAATTTTCTTCACCTGGTTCTTCATTCTATGGTCCGATCCAATCGTCCCGGATGTCGTTGCTGCTACTATCGCTTTCCTCGTAATGTACACCACATCCTCCTGAAGATAGAGATACAACAAAAGGATAATACACGAGGCTTAAAAACTTGGACGTTAATATTTTTATAACGTTTGTTGAGACTGTACCGTACACTAACCTCGCGCTCATCATCCTCGCTAGTAGCAGTATTATCAACACCAGTAGCAATGTCTCTAGTTGTAGAGGGAACAGTGGTGGATTCTGCAGAGTCAGCAGTGGGATTGGCTGGAGTGGCAGCAGAAGCAGCAGTAAAATCGATGGCATTCGTAACAGTATTAGCGGCACTGGTGATAGTAGTAGAAACAGCAACGGCAGAAGTGGTAGCGTTAGTAGTAGTAGTAGTAGTAGTAGTAATAGCAGCAGCAGTAGTAGTAGCGATGATAGTATCGATATTAGCAGCAGCGGGAGTAGCGGTTATAGCGTTTGCTTCAGCAGTGATCTGTAATGTGATAATAATGGTAGTAGTAATAATAATAGCAGCAGTAGTAGCAGAAAATAAAACAATAGATATGAATAGATATAAAATCCTACCTTCTTAGGTTTCCTTTTTAAAGTTTTCTCTACAGGTATCGTCAAAAGCAAAAGAATAAAATATACCATCGAACCCAAAAATATAATCTCCAAAACCTTCAATTTCCCATCGAGACACGATTCATGCACAGGGGAAGGAGACGCAAATCTTAAAAATAACACATAAAAGCCAGAGAATAAAAGATGTATCATCGAACAGAGAAAAATAAGGTGATTGATAAAACCATGGATAAGAAGAGGGAACATTTTAAGAGTCTTTGTTTTCCTATCAAAGACTATTCTTCACTAGAACCCTTGCTCAACATGGTCAATAACGAGTGGTCTAATATCAAGAAAATTACATTTCCTGACGAATACAAACACTGGAAAGGTGAAGAATTGTATAATTTTTATATCGAGCCGTATTCGGTAGATCGTGTCTATTTTTGTGAAACTACATGGATAATCTTAAGCGAATTTCGCATGCTACTAAGAATTCAGTATAAGTCTAGACCGCTGTACGTGGAGCTTCTCTATGCCGAACATGAAAATGAAATCAAAGTAATGATTCTCACTTATCGTATCCAGCGTTTTATAGACTCGATAGTAAGCGACTACGGTGAACGAAAAAACATATTAAAATTTATGCTAGATGACGATTCGAACATATAAAGGTCTTGGGGTACCGATTCGTCGTTGAAACATCTTTGTTGTAAAACAATCTACAGCTACCGGTATATGTCCACTTTTAAGACATGTCCAGTTTGTAAGGTGTGTCCACTTTTAAAACATGTCCAGTTTGTAAAGTGTGTCCACTTTTAAAACATGTCCACTTTTAAGACATGTCCAGTTTTTAAGATGTGTCCACTTTTAAAACATGTCCAGTTTTTAAAGTGCGTCCTCTTTTAAAAGTGGACACATCTTAAAAACTGGAATACGTATTTAGAAACATGGCCTAGCTATATAAACACCGACTGATAATATAAAGTTAGACTCGACTCTCTCCTCCTCCGGTTCCTGTACTTTTAAGTGTAGTGTAAGTAATTTTTTTTAAATCGGAAGATCGGGAGAATATATCTAATTCGTCCATAAGAAATGTTTTCATAGCCAGTGCCAGATCAATGTAACCGAAGACGATGGATATATCACATCCTAACAGTTTTCTGCAGCAGGAAGAGTATCGGTTAACCACGTTCAGCGAACATGAGATATCTCCCATCGATACCACTATAGTATACAGGGACATGCCGTTTGTCGGCTACGATTGTCTGAGATACGAAGAAAAGCGATTAGGAACCTTCATCGACTGGCCTCATGAATGGCTGAAACCGTCAGAATTGGCGGCCGACGGATTTTATTATCTCAGGAAAGATGATCACTGTGCGTGTATCTTCTGCAGAGGGATAGTTGGAACCTGGGAAAAAACTGACACGCCAAGAGGAGAACATCAACGCCATTTTCCCCAATGTCCCTTTATTAGGGGTCAGCCAACTGGAAATGTTCCCATTGTTCAAGGCAATATCTTAGCCAGGTTACCGGTACTACATCCGAGTCTGGACGATTGCGGATCAAGACGTGTTGAGGCCGACGCTTGCAGATTTTCGTCAAGACATATGGCCGGATCGTATCCCGAATGCAGTGAGTAGTTTGGTATCTTTTATCGCTGATTAGTATTTATGAACACTGTATATAACTCTTTACCCGTGAGTTCAATCCAGATTTATTCCCTGCTATCGCTTCGTCTCACAGGAGGATCTCCGGATGAAACTGGTCTCTACCATCATTCTAGACCGAAACGAAGTGATTTCACGACACTAGATAGCCGATTGAAGAGCTATGTCGAAGGATGGCCCATCCTCGGTCTGCGTGCACAAGATCTTGCCGAAGCTGGATTTTTCTACTGTGGTACGTTTTTTTTTATATATATGTATATATATGCGTTTACGTGTATCGGTAATAGTAGATTCATTACAGGTGTTAAATATTGATAACAGCATCAGCTTATTAAGATCTCTGGAATTGATTGCGTTTTCTCTATCAAAAGAAGCATTAAATACTTTTGCAAAAGAAACACAGTTACCGTTATTATATACATAGGTCTGAGTGATCATGTTCGCTGTTTCCACTGCGGTAAGGGTCTTCGCAATTGGATATCTAGCGACATACCTTGGAAGGAACACGCTAGATGGTATCCTAAATGCAGATTTGTCTTATTGAAGAAAGGCCAGGACTATATCAATGAAGTATGTATACGCCTCTTAATTGTATCTTATTTTGCTGGATATTTTTATTAATTGTTGTTTTATTATCGTTATTATTAGATTACTATTACTATGATGTCAACACTGTTATAATTTCTTTTAGGTCCAGCGAGAATATTCACCGTACACCCACACAGCGAGTACTGTATATTCGGGTATCGATAAGGCTGCTTCCGGTAGCAGTAATAATCCAACGGAGGTGCAATCCGTATCCGAACAAGAATTGGATCTGTTGATGAGTTTGGATGTCGTCAAGTGTGTACTGGAAATGGGATATCCTAGTTGTATAGTCAGGGCCTGCCTTAAAGATCGGGTTGAACAAACCGGCGAACCGTATTTCGTTATAGAGCCTTGCCTTGAAGATGTTATACAGAGAATGAGCGTAACAGAGAATCGGGTCGCAGATAATCGTTCTGAGAGTACAGAGCGTGAGCCGTCATATGGTGAGGCCGATATTTCATCTTCGATATTTCAACAACAAGCACCGATATTCCCATCTACGTCTAAAACCATGGGGAATCGGGTTGCAAATATTCAACCGCTTCCATTCGAATCTACCGAGGTTGAACCATTATCTCAACAACAACAGGCTCCTATATTTCCATCTACATCCGAAATAATACGACAGCAGGCTTCTATATTCCCTATTGCACCTCTGACTACAACGTTATCATCATCATTTGAACGAGAAAATACCGAAACTGAAGCAAACCATATTTTGCAAATAGTAGAAGAAATCATATCACAGACTAGTGAAGAAGAGAAGGAGGGATATGAAGAAAAGGAGGGATATGAGGAAAAAGAAGAATTCAAGTCAAGACAATCTTGTAAGTATAATCTATATTATGATTGATTATTTAAATTTTACTATTATAGATGAACATATTGTTACTATTATTATTTTTATTGTTGTTATTGTTAGTTATTATCATTCTTATTATTATCGAAAATTAACACGTGTATTTATCATCTTTCCATTTTAGACGAACAGATGAAAGAAGAACTCGAACGGATGCGTGAAGATCGCACATGTAAAGTGTGCATGGACAGTGAAATAGCTATAGTGTTTCTTCCGTGCTCGCATATGGTTACGTGCGTTTCCTGTGCTGTATCCCTGAGACAGTGCCCCATCTGTAGAAGAGACATCAAACATGTGTGCAGAGCTATTGTATCCTAATAATATTCACATATAACGTGATACTCAGACACATATACACACGTAATAATATATACGCAATAAACGTGTATATAAACTCTTAGCAATAAATAACAACGATGATTATATACAAGATAATAAATATTATTACCTGACAGTGAGAGAAGGCGGAAAGATATACTATTCGTCTATGGTGAGAACACTAAGTTAAAAAAATATCACGATAAACGTGAATATAATTTTAATAACAACGATGACTATATGAGACAACGAAAAACATTACCTGACAATGAGAGAATATGGAAAGATATACTATTCATCAATGGTGGGATTACTGAACGCACTGACAGAAGCCGGTTATCCGATATCGACACATGATCTTTCTGACAGAGACGGCATTAAATCGTCGTACAGAGACGATGGCGTAATAATAACCCATGCGTCTGAAGAAGCTCTCTGTTTAACGTTATACTGCGCACTGGGATTATTGATGGAAAAGGGAATAACCGTAAATCTGAAGAGATCTAATGCTGCAGAATATCTGTTACATTTCCCTACAGTGAAAGTCGAAGTCAGACCAAATTGTGAAACCAATACCATCGTGAGAGGGAGAATACAAAGAAACGACGATCGCGTCGCTATTGGCGATGAACCTTTAAATACTAGCGACATCTATAACGGCGGAAAGGCGTATGCGTATCAAAGTAGAGCGCTATATTCTCTCTGTTGCTCTCTCTTTTCCTCTCTCTGTTGCTCTCTCTCTTCCTCTCTCTGTTGCTCTCTCTTTTCCTCTCTCTGTTGCTCTCTCTCTTCCTCTCTCTGTTGCTCTCTCTCTCTCTCTCTCTCTCTCTCTCTCTCTCCCTCTCTCTCTCTCTCTCTGTTGCTCTCTCTCTCTCTATGTCTTTTTTTTCTCTCTCTCTGTTGCTCTCTTTTTCCCTCTCTGTTGCTCTCTCTCTCTCTCTCTCTCTCTCTGTTACTCTCTTTCCTTCTCTCTGTTGCTCTCTCTCTCTTTTTTCTCTCTGTTGCTCTCTCTCTCTCTTTTTTGTCTTTTCTTCTCTGGTTTCTCGATATAACTTTTGTATAACCGTCTTCATCAACAACTTGTGTGGACCGCTCTGCATAGTCGTTAATGATGACTGGTGGCACTGCTGGAGGAGGGGGGGCAGGGGGTAGGGCGGTAACTCCATGCACCTGCTGCTGAGCTGTTTCCTC